CGCATCCGTGCCCTCAATCAGCGGAGAGCAGCGGAGGGGCTGCCCAGGATCCTGGTGCACACTGACGCAGCACAGATGATTGGCAAGGGGCACGTGGATGTGCAGGAGCTGGGGGTGGACTACCTCACCATTGTGGGACACAAGGTATGACCCTGTTGACATGGTTCAGCTGCTGTTCACCCTCTAAGACATCTCTGTTGGGGTGCCAGGGAGACTTTGGGTGCCGCAACAGCTTAATACCTCACCAGTGACCAAAGTTTTCCTGCTGGATGGTGCTCCGAAGACAGCCTTCAGCTGGGGGATAAGGCTCCTGTGACCCAGAAGGACCTGTTTGGAAGGGGGAGCAGGAGGAGGCCAAGGGCAGGGGGACAGCTCTGCAGCAGCCTGTGCCTGTGAGACAGGCAGGGGTCAGCACTGGAGGGCACTTGGATTTGGGCAGGAGTACAGGAAAGGGACACCTGGCAGTGTCCCCAGGGTCACTGCGGCTGTTTCTCCCCACAGTTCTACGGCCCGCGGATTGGCGCACTGTACGTGCGTGGCCCCGGCACCACCACCCCACTGCACCCCATGCTCTTCGGAGGGGGACAGGAGAGCAGTTTCCGGGCAGGGTAAGGTGGCTGGGTCGTGGCCTGGCGAGCTGGGCCTCGGGCTAGTGGCCAGACCATGTATGGCTACTTAGGCCAAGCTGAGCTGGCAGCAGTGTCACCTGCCAGCTCTGGGGCGGGCAGCACAGTGCAGGGAGATGGATCCATGTGGGGGAGCTGCAGGAGCCTGGTGCGTAGGCTTTGCCGCGGGAAGAACCACAGGGTGGAGCTGCCCCCTGCCCAACCACCTCAGAGAGGTGTCCGGAACCCCCTGCCAGTGCTGAGGGGTGCCGCACGGGGAATGTCTGTTCCTTGAGGTTGGGTTTCTGGTTTGGAGAAATAACTCGCTGCTCCCTGTTCCCTTCCAGCACTGAGAACACACCAATGATCGCTGGGCTCGGCCAGGTGAGTCAGTGGTGGTCACGAGTGAGCGGTTCCCTGGGGGTGCTGCCTGGCGGAGCCAGACGGAGCCAGCCACTTGTGCTCTCTGGTCATTAGAAGTGACAAACTCAGGGCGTGGGAGGGTGGGCAAATTGCTGGAAAAGGAGACGGAGCTTTCTGGTTCTAGTTAAAGGAGGTGCTTCGGAGCACTTGCTGCAGGCTTTGCAGTGCTGGCCGTGGGCAGCCACGCAGCTCATGTGGCGCAAGGCACTGAGCGGCTGTTGGGGGACACCGGGGACCTGACAATTGCAGAGGCTGTTCCTGTGTTGGATTCAGATGCCAGGGGGCTGCTCGCAGAGGGAGGTATCAGGGGTTTGCTGACAGAACCTGTCTGGGTTTTCTCTCATCAGGCTGCAGAGTTAGTGAGCAAGAACTGGGAGGCCTACGAGGCTCATATGCGGGATGTTCGAGATTACCTGGAGGCCAGGCTGGAGGTGAGCATAGTTCCTGTTTGTCTCTGCCCTCCCGGGGTCTCAGCCTGCAGAGCACGGGGCCTGGAGCCAGGGAGGTTATGGCCCCCTGGCCCTGCCGCCTCCTCATCAGGACAGGGATGCTTGTGAACCGTGAGTGGTTCACAGCCCTCTGATTTCTCCAGGCCTCCTTTGGGAAGCAGAGGATCCATCTCAATAGCCACTTTATGGGCTCCAAGCGACTGTGCAACACCTCTAACTTCTCCATCCTGGGCCCAGGCCTTCAAGGTAGCTCTTACCCCTCCGCTGCCCTGTGATGGTGCCCACAGAGCCAAGCACCTGCCCTGCATAGCACCCTGTGGCTAGAGACCGGCGGGCGCTCAGCCGTGGCTTGAGCAGGGAGATGAGGCAGGCGGTGGCCCTTGGAGAGAGCCTGGGTGCTGGGAGACCTGTGCTTGTGTGTGCTGCAGGGCGAAGGGTGCTGTCTCACTGCAAGACGCTTCTTGCCAGTGTTGGGGCTGCCTGCCACTCTGAGAAAGGGGATCGGTAAGCAGCTGGCTTTGCCAGGACCAGTGCATCTTCCCAGAGGAGAGTGGGTGGGAGGGAGGGAAATAGGACAGGGAAAGGGAGCGTGGGTGGCTATGGGCAGTGTCACCTGGAGCAAAGAGGTTGCAGAGCTTTCCAGAGGGGCTGAAGGGCTGCAAAGGAGGTTGTTGCAGGAGACACAGTGAAATGCTTGTCTGCTGCTTGTAAGGACTTTGTGCCTCCTGGCTTTGGTTTTCCAGCTGAGCTTGGAAGTACTCTTCAATGCCTGGCACTGCCAGAAGAGAGTCTGCCTTATGTCCACATGTGCCTGGCTCACCTGCTTAAGTGCAATTCGGGTCTCCAGTGGGTTCCTTTGGGTGCATGTGGGGACAGCAGGTGCTTTTGGCCTGTCTAGAGCAATGCTCTGTAGACATGGCAGAGTTGCCAACCCATGGGGACACAGGAGAGATTCCTCCTTGGAGGGGAAGAGCCAGATCTAGCATAGGGCAACAAGCCCCGTGGGACCTGGTGCCTTTGGAAAGCAAGCAGGTTTGCCTGGAGTGCATCTGCAGATGTGCTCCCCCTTGGTGAAGCTTTCTGGCGATGCATGTGCTTTCTCAGCCTTTGAGTTAAGCCCACTCACCCCTGTGTCTGTGTTTCAGGCCGTCCTCAATTCTGCTTAGCTGTGGGATCCCCTACGATGTGGCCCAGAACGCCTTGCGGCTGAGCATCGGGCGAGACACCACCCGGGCAGACGTGGACCTGGTTGTGCAGGACCTTGTGCAGGCTGTGGCACAGCTGGACCAGGACCAAGCCCCGTAGACCCCAGGAATTGCTCCCCGGTCATCAACCAGGTCCTTGGGATGGGGTTGTGCCCTGCTTGGCCCCTGGGTGCTGACTACCTATGCCACTTTGGGCTTAGCATTTGGCAGGATTAGTTTTGTGCCTGATGCCTAAGCCAAACTGACTCAGCCTGCAGCTTGTGTTTGTGGATCAGAGGTTGGGGAGGTGGCGGCTGGTGGTGGCAGGAGGAGGAAGTGGGATCATCTGTTTCATCAGCACTCTTAGGTCTGCTTAGCAGTGTATCAGCTTGTGCTTGCAGGGATCATGGCGGGGCTGGCACGGCTCTGTAGCATGTGCAGCTCAAGCAGAGAAGCTAGTGCTGCTGCTGGAGGCAGCAGGGAGCTGTGCTGAGGAGGGGGCTTTGCTGCTTTGGGTCTGGGGCAGCTCATCAAGAGGTCACTCAGGACTCCGTCATCCCCACTGCACGGTGCAGGCATTCGCGGAGTCTCGCTGTCGGGTGCTCCTCGCTTGCCAGCACCTACCCAGCTGGCTGCGTGCATGCACGCGTGTTGGCATGACAGAGTCTCAAAGCTTGACTCCCTCCAGAGCATAACAGGTGTGGAAGCCATAGGAGATGGAGCCTTTTGCTCTGGTTGCTTTCCACAAAGGAAGCTTTCCCGCTGTCTTACTACTCAGAGGGGGGAAGATCATCTGCCCCAGAGGGAAACGAGGCATTGACAGAAGCACAGCAAATGCTGGGCTGGGAAGTGCCCTGCCCCTGCCAGGGCGCCAAGCTGCCAAAGGGTTTTGGATGGGAAGGCGTCAGGCATGGCTTTTCCAGCACTGCGTTCCGTTACCTGCTCCCCTTCCTCCTGTCCTTACAGAGCTCCTGTTGCCAGCTCCACGTGCTCCTAAAGGAAAGAGAGTTGTCGGGGCAGCCATAACTGTGTGCCAACACCCGAGGAAACGTGTCTTCCCGGCATGGCCCAGGTGGTCGCTCTCATCATTGACATAGGAGGACACAAGTGTCACACGGCTTAGGAGCATTGCCAGCTGGGCTGACTGATGTCGGGGAACCTGGTCTCCCTGAGTATTCATAGGAATAAAAGTGATTGCTGCTGCTGTGGCTTTTTCCCAAGTAAAATGTGTTATTCCTGGGGGAAGCTGCACTGGTTGGGGTCATCTGAGTGACATCTTTTCCCTCAGAAAATGCTTGTGTCCCAGAACAGAGGCACAGTCTGCTGAAGCGGGGAGGTGCCTGCTGGTCCTGGTTGGCAGGGAGGCCATGGACACAGATTCTTAGATGCTGCTTTTCTCTTTACTAGCTGAACATTAGCACGGCCAGGAATGCTATTTGGAACCATAAAACCCCGGGGCTTTTTGTAAATCTAATTTCTAACTGAAGCGTTAGGACCCAAGCACAGACTGCCTGGCACTGGATGCCTGTCAGGCTGTTCAGTGTTACCGCCCCTGCTCACACCTCAATCTCAAATGCAATCTTTTCTGTCTCCTTTTTTTTTTTCCTGACTTGTGTAACAGTCAAAACCTCTTTTAGAAAAAGTGGTTCCATAGAAGAATACTGCTCTGCTTCAGGGGTAGATCTTTTATCTATCATGGACCTTATAGTTCTTGGCGACCTTTCTTTCACAGCTGTGGCACAACTGGAGATCCAATTTTTGGGGCGCTCTTTCCCCCACAGGAGGTCTGGGCTTCCCACAAGGATTCAGACAGAAATTTAACCACAAAGCACAAAAAGCTTTACTGACTTACTCTTTATAGACACAGGGAACACAAGTTTTAAACACAGAAATATTTGCATTACTTCACTTAGACTATTACAGCCAAAACGTAAGAAGTGTTACAGAAGGTACGAACACTTGGGTTGACCACTGTAATGGTTTTCTGTTCATTTTCCTACTACCACACTGCACAGGAATGAAAGTCACTAGTGAATCCCTCTGTCTCTGTACTGCCTTATTGAGGGAAGGCGAGGAGGAACATGCCTCTGACTTGGCCTGCATGTCTGTGGACCAGCCTGTGCTCCTGCTTACGCACCCAACATACTGAGACAAACAGCCTCTTCCCGTATGACAAAATGTCAGTGGTTGTATGCATAAAAACAAATTCACCTGTCATGGAAGTCTGGAAACACCAACATGCCTACATCAGCTGTGAATTTAAATGGTAGAGAGAGGTCCTGGCCACTATGCTAGAACACCACAGAGTTGAAATATGCTACTTTCACGTGGTCACACAGCCAGAATCAGATGGCAAAACCGCAATTCATTTAATGGAAGAATCCACAATCTCCTGATAGTCTTGCCTTCCTAAATTCTTCCAGGACAGTTTATAACACGCAAGGAAAAAAACACTAACCAAAATAACCGCTCCCCCAACAAGATCATAAGCACCTGGGAAGATGCGCAGCACGACGAGCTGCAGGACCATGGCGATGACTATCTCCAGGTGCTGTACGGTGCTAACCAAAGCGGGGTGGAACTTGCTCAGGGCGTAGTAGACCCCCAGGAAGGCTGCTGTGGAGCACAGACAGATGGCAAGGAGATAGCTCCAGGTTTCCCCATCCAGTGGGACGATTGGCTCTTGAAGTAAGAACATGGTGGATGCTCCCCACACCGTTCCTGTCCAACTAAAGGTGAATAGTGCCGTCCACATGCTGATGTTATCTTTGATTGACCTATAGACTATCATGGAGAGAGCAGTGGTCAAACCTGCCATAACTGTCATGGTGTAGCCAAAAGCTTCCTTCCAGGTGCTCAGCAAAGAGTTTTCCTCCTTAACAATGTTGGGGATCATGACCAGACAAACGCCAAACATACTGCCAACTACAGTAACTATGTCTATGTAAGCCATTCCTTCATCTATGAGTAAAAAAGCCAAAATGGCACTGAACACTGTAGTGGTAGCCCTCCACATAATGGTCCCATTGCTGGGGGGAACTATAGAGAAGGAGGTGTAAGCACAGGTAATAGAGATAACATTGCAGACCCCATAGAAGAAGAGCCGCAGTCTGTAGCCTTTGGGGCCAAAGGGAGGCTCATGGTAATAGCACACAACAGTAATGGACAGCACCTGTAAGACTGAACGGATGAAGATTAACTCTAGGGATGGCACTTTGGAACGATCAGAAACTAATCTTGTAATTAGAGCAACACAACCGTGAGCCACAGCAGATCCAAAAAGGACTACCCAGGTTTTCCTTGACGGCAGTATATTTCCTTCAGGAAAATGCTGGGATTGCCCCATCTCATCAGGTTTTGGCAGTTGTGCTGGCCGAAGCTTGGTGTCTGTTGTACCAAAAAAGGTCCTTTCTCTCTTTCTCCCATCAGTCAGTAGTCTTTTCTTAGGATTATCCTCCATAAATACTCCAATATCTTCATTAACATCCTCATATCCCTCTTCTCCTGGCTGGGGATAATGAGAAGTATATTTCACTGTTACTGTGTTGGGATGAATTTTCACTCGCTTTTTGACTGGGTATTTTTGGGAAGACGTATCCATTTCCTCAGAGAAATGTCCTGGTCTTAAGAAAAAAAAATGCACAAGCACTGTTATTTTTATTTAATGAATAGCAAGAGATTCATTAGTATGTAAATGCTGTTAGCATTTACAAGCTGTTTTTATTAACCAAGTCCAAGTACTTGGTTTTGCTTTAATTTTCTGGGGAGTTACTGCTAAATACCTTTGATAGTCAGGCCATTTGGATCTCCTTAAAAGCGAACTACGGAACTTCATTTTAGTCCCTAGTTTTTGAAAAATACATATGTTCTCATTATGCATAGTACATATAATGCATTCTAGTATATTCTTATTCTAATGAGAAAGTCCTCTTGCTAAGCTTTTTGGACGGTAAATACCCTGTAATTATGAATTATACTTACTGTTAATTGCTTGCTGATGTTACAAGATTACGGAAGAAAATTGGCTGGAGAGGACGATCACCTTGTTTCTAAACTGACAGAGCGCCACACAGGGAAATAGGGAGCATCCCTGAGTAGGTCAGCATAGTTAGCATGGGGATAAACGACACATTCTTGAACAATACTTTGACAGTGTTAAAAATTGCTTCTCCTTTCACATTCTTTTATTTCCAGTGGTTGATTTTGCAATAGATTCATTCTTCAGATCGCCTTTTTTTAATGGGGAAAATTTAGAAGGGCTGATCCAGACTACTACCCAGACCTTCCCATGGCAAGATATTTAAAAACCACAGCAACAGACCCACCACCCTTCTGTCTCCTATTGAAGGTCCATCTCGCACTACACAAGCAGTGTGAGCTCTCACCTCAGTGCCCCTGAGCTGTGCACACCACGCAGCCTCCCCAAACAAGCAAGCAATCCTTCTTGCAGCCGGCCTTCACCAGCACAAATGCTGCTTGGTCTCTGCTGTCGCAGGCGCATGCAGCCTGCCCACGGGGAGCCCACCTGTGGCCTTACTTCCCTCCAGCTCTCTGCTGGGAGTGCTGTCGCTGTCCGCAGGCCCACTGTGACACCACTGGGTCAGTTTAATTCAGGATGTCACCGAGATCACTTTGTTTCCGCAGTGCCCTCCACCATCTGCGCAAAGAGCCCTTCCAAATGAAGTGGCAGCGAGAGAAAGGCAACTTCCCTGCCTTCTGTTCGCCCCAGCAAATAAACACATGCAGACCTTACCTGCGCCTGAGAGATTTAATCCTAAACCAAAAGGGGAAAATACCTCTCGGTCATCTACATCTTTGTCCAGGTGTCTAAACAGAAACAGTAGATGCTCTCAGATATCAACTAGGAAAGGTTACAATCATCTCAGCACAGAAAGTAATACCTGAGGGAGGTGTGAAACATTCTGCTTGTTTTTCAAAGCTGAAAATTTGAGAAGCACTAGCATGCCTTTGAGGCCATGTTCCTTGGGAACTGGCAACCCTAGTGCATCATTATGAAAAAACCACCACCACAAACCCCAAAACAATTCAAATAGAGAGAAAGCAATCAGTGTCATCTTGCCAAAACCACTCCTCAGCCATCTCTCAGAATTATTGATGGAACTAATCCAAAGAACAAGTAGTGGTTTTGTGAGCATAAGGTTCCTACAGCTGATAACAAGAAAATTCACCATCCCATGCCTGATGTCCTGCCTCACCAGCGCTGCGGCGGAAAGGATGCCCAGGGGGACCCATCCTCTCAATCCGGCCATCCACGCCCAGGAGCCGAGCCCAGCCCTGCAGGCAGCAGCACTTTGGCCTCTGTGCTGTCCGCAGGGGACGGGTATGGACATTGTCTGCAGGGAGTACCGAAGCACCAGAGCAGGTGGGTCCTGAAGGCGCACGACTGCAGATGAATGGACAATCGGGCTGAACAGCACAACGGCGGTTTGTCGGGGAGACCACAGATCAAAAGGCAACATGAGAGTGGGTGCAATAGCTCTGCACAGAAATACTTCAAAAATATCACGGCCAGATTCAGCCTTTGCATCTTCCCCATCCACGTTCTGTGACAGCCAAGCACTGCCTTCGTCTCCTGGTAAAAATAATTTACATAAGAATGGGATATTCTTCCTTTCTCCTCACAGGCTGAGTGTTTATTGACCCCCCTGCTACACCCTGGCTGAGCTGCAGCCTACTACTTGCAGGCAGAACAAATCCTGGCAGGGATCATGATGAACGGGAGTGGAGAGAGGGGCAGGCACAAGACCCAGCTCTGGAGGAAGGCAGCAGCGCCACTTTGGACCTGCACAAGTAAGCGAGGTATCCTGGGGCACCACCTTACTCTTGCTTTAGCAGACTGCGCTCCCAGCCCCGAAGCACCTCACTGAAGCAGAGACTGGTAGACGTTAGAGGGCCTGAGGACAAGAAACACCCTTGTCTAGGCAGGAGGCCCTGTGTTATCACTCCTCCTGTTCCTGTTTCTGCTGCCAACCTGTTTTCAGCAGAACTCAGCTGAAAAAACAAAGAGTACTCGGTACGCTGCTAAATGGTGGAGGAGTACTCCAGAATGCTCGTCAATGTACAGTTCAAATACTGCAAGAAACTTGAAAAGAAACAGCTGAAATGTCATGGAGGAGAAATAAAGAGGGCAAGAGCTGGTATCAGCTGCACTGAGTGGGCAGTTCAAACAACCCACCAAACATTTAAAAACACCCTACCAGAAATCTACCCCAGTCTCACCTGCTATTTGCACATTTTCTTCAGATAAGTGGTTGATTTCAGATTCTTTTGATGCAAAATGCAAATGCAAAAGGCACTGAATGAGTCCAGGAAGGCAGTGATTTTCACAAGCACAGCTTTTCATGGCTAGCATTGTCATTGTGTTACAAATTCACAATGCTGTCTTGCTGTCCCCACATCTTAAAAAAATTAAGATCTTCTTTATTTAAGGCACAATATATGGATCGGGAATAAAATAAGTGGGAGGAAAAGAAGACAAAAGGTGCACAACAGGCATTATTATTAGAGTGACAGTGCATCTAGCCTGTACAAACTCGGTTATTTCACTAAGAAACAGCTGAGTACATGATGCAACTATTTGCTCATGGAAACAAAATAAAAAACCCCGAATTTTTTACCATTAGCATAGAACGGTAACTTTCTTGCTTCCTGATTTTAGATTACATTTTCTTCCAACAAATATAGAAAAGGGTATAGAAAAAGAAACAAAATGCAGTTGTAAATTTAGTACTGGACCTGTGTAATGTATTCAGAGATCTCTGGAGGAAAACAATAGATCATGAGCACGTAGCTCAAAATGGCTGTCCTATACAGATGCCGTATTCCCTCCAGTATTCTTCAACACTAAGAATGCTAATAGTTGGAAGGGCTGAAAAGTGGAAGGGCAAGCACATGAGAAATGAGAAAGGCAGGAGATGAGAAGTAACAAAGAACAAAAAAATAGCAGGAGTGCTTAAAACTAAATTTCATTTTCTCTACCAAATATTGAGTATATGACAAATGTTGTGTCAGCTCTCACACAGTACATTTATACAAACGTTCTCAACTCAAACAACAATGTGGGACACCCATTTAAATTAAGAGCTCATGGAAATCACTGACTGCCAAAGTGTGAACCCTGTTTTCCCATGGGGGAATAAACAGTCACAACGATTTATTAAATCTCACAAATTATTAACAGAATACACACCATAATTTCTTTCAAAAGACTCCAGTACGCCCCCCCACCCTTCCCCAGTCACTACACAGAGCTGGTTAGCAAGAGACAAATAGGTGATTATATGCCACTTGACTACTGGGGGTGGGAAGCTGAGCTCTCCTCCTTGTTGTGTCTGAAGGAATTACGGTTTTGAGGTCTCACTGGTGATTCTAACCACCAATTTTCAATAAACTCACAGAAAAATACTCTCATCTTCTGCCAGATTTGGTCAAAATCAGTTAGCAGACTGAAACGTTATTACACAAGATTTGCAGACATTGGTGACTGCAGTCTTTACGAAGTTGAAAATGAGGAGCCAGCTATCCCTGCGCTCCTAAAGGCAGGCCTTGCAGGGATGCTCCTTTGCCTCTTCTTTGGGAAATCCCCCCAGCGCTAACTGGGTTGGACTGAGGTTAGCAGAGGGCTGTAAGCAACAGAGCAACTTCTGCCACCTTCACTAAGCACTTTGTGCACAGAGCACAGACTTCTCACAACGCAGGGTTTTGATTTCTTATCAGGTGCAGGAAAATCTCCTACATTGCTGTTTCAGCAACCTCTCCATTAAACCACCTGAACCTTGCTGGAGAGCCTTTGGTGCTTGATAGTTCAGGCAACCGCACATGCCAAGGGATCTATATTCACATGATGTCTGACCAGTGTAACACAACATGAACCAAGGGGGAAGAAAAGGCAATGTAGTGTGCACAGCAGCCATTAAATGTTGGTATCGCTGAAACAGCGTACATTTCTGCTACGCTTTCAAACTGCTGGGTAAGGTGCACACTGGAACATCAGAGTACCTTTATCTTTTTAGCCAGATGGTGTGACAACATAAATCAATTTTATTAAAAATACATGCAAAGAAACTCAAGTGTTTCTTAAAATTTAATGAATAATAAAATATATTTAAGAAAATGAAAGAGCAATTATATGAAAGGAGGTTTTAGTACTTAAGCACAAGAGCAAACATTATACACAAACCAACAAACCAGTATCCCATGTCTTCAAATTAATCAAGTCACATCCAACAGCACTGCCTAAGGGAAGAGCCAGAATTCAAGTATAAACCCTACACTTAAGCCCCGTGAATTGTCAGTACATTCCTGACAATATTTTGCTACCCAAAAAACATCCTGTATTTGTGCTAGCTTGTTAAAGCTGCCACATGCGATTTCAACGGGATTATATGTGACACCTTTGAGTTCCCTTGCTGCCACTAGCCTATTCTCTGGCTGTGCAAGGGCTCCGAATGCGTCATCTTCCACAAAAAAAAATATTCTCTAATTTCTGCATTCATGTCTGTTGCCTGCTGTAACAATACTTGCATGGGGTGATCTTGGAAGAAGAACCACTCTCCCTGCAAACTTCCCATTTCAAAAGCCCTTATCTGAACAATTCCAGGTGTGTGTGGGGAAGAAGAGAGAACACATCGACACTTAAATACAGTCTCCCACAGCACACGAAAACAGGTTGGCTAGATACAAGAAAGGCCTTAAACGGCACATTACAGAGGGCTGAAATAGAGCACAAGAGGGCACGTTCAGGTGTACTAGAATAAACTACAGGTTAAGGTTTATTTAAAGCTTACTGCTTTCGATCTTCTCCCAAGAAATCGCAGAGCCCGGCCAGGCAGCGAGCTGGTGCGTGCGAGGTGTGTGCAGAGGGGAGTGCGGGGACAGCCAGGTGCAACACGGGACTCGGGAGTTTCACACGGAGGATTCCGCAAGTTGCGATGGCAACTACCGCGTCCGCAGCACCCCGCAGAGGCTGCCAGCGGAGGAAGCAGGGCGGCTCTGGCAGGGACACGGGGAGCGGGCCTGAAAAACCCCGAGGAGGGAGCAGCAGCCCCACGCAGTGGCCAACGCCGGTCTGGCGTCTCGGCCAGGAC